TCTGTTTGAACTGAAGACAGAGAATAGCGAAAATCCAAACTCACGTTTCAAGCATTGAGAGCACCCAAAGATCTTGCAACTGATATATATATATATATATATATATATATATATATTTTACAGATCGAGCATTATTTATTTGGGAACAAGAAGCACTTAAAATATTTTTTTCATTTAGGAAATTTAAAATAAAATGTGGCCTTGTATGGTACACATTTGTGTATGAGTTCATTTGGGTCACTTTATATGACAGCAATACAGAAGAATCTGCAAAGCTATCTTCTCAAAAAACTGTAAAATGGAATAATGTAGACAGTAATAATACAAAATAGAGTGACAAATAAACTTACCCTTTCTCCCTCTGTTGGGTTTTTATCTGGGTGATATTTCAGTGCCAGTTTACGATAGGCCTTTTTCAGCTCTTCAGAGCTAGCATTAGGCTTTACACCCAGCATATCATAAAAACCAGTCTCTTTCACCATGGTTGCCCTCAAACAGATTAATCTGGTCAAAAGAAACATTTCAAAAAGAAACTTAAGAAAATGACACTTGTGACTGTTCAACAATTAATTTATGAATAATATTAGTGTTAGAGTTACAGTTAATCTAAACCTTGCCCACATTTTCAGTCTCGTAATATCAATAGTACTGGTTATTAGAAAGCAATTATACTAAATTAAAATCGCCATAACATTCGCAAAGAATTAACTTGACCAAGCGCTTTAAAACAATTGATTTTAGATATTTGCTGTGTCGATAGAATTTTCAAAATCATGCGAAATAAAAGACAGGATTTTGTAGATAAATAAGCTAAGAAGAAAATCACGTGACTCATACAATAACATTATTTTAATAAATCGTCTTGTACCGTGAAATATGATGAAATCCCTTCTCGTCTTATGCCTCCTCCGTGTACTAAACAAGAGACTTCCAGAATCTTCCAGCAACGCTCTAACGCTACATCTTCTTCTAGTGGAGCGTTATTGAACTTTGATTGCAGTGCGACCTATTTCTGCCACCTACTGTACATAGTGACGTATGACAGGCAATGACGAGGAGCTGTTTCATAATCAGTATTTTAATTAGCTCTCCCTAGGCGACGATACCTTTTACAATGGATTATTCCCTTTTATCTGTTTTATTTATAATTCATTAGCATTTAGGTCGCAAAAATTCCATAATCTCGATCTACGTTAAAATGCTTTATGTATCCAAATGCTAAAACTCCATTTAAGTTATTTGCTTAGCTGTAAGTGGTTTGAAAATGAAACTATTATAACTCTATGTGACACCACTGTTGTATTTATTTTTCTTACACTACCATCACATTTTTCCTGGCGTCAAATCGTTGATTTGTGTAAATTTTTCCTAGGGTAAAATCATTAACTTGTGTGTCTCGTGAATGCATGAGTTGTTTTTTCTTTACATTAAACAAATGACTATGTGCACGTTAGCATATGCTACTTCCGGCTGCGAAACAAATAGGGGGTGTCTAGTTTCCGGTAGCCTGATGGACGACGTAGAGGTTGTATTTCTCCAGTTGTCTTGAATATTTGCCGAATATTACAGTCGATTATGATTTTCCAGCTCCCCAGAGCAAGAGAGAAGGGGTTTAAATATTACATTTCTCAGTATTTGCATACGTTTGAAAGGAACGTTAAGTCACAACAACATCCATTCTCAGACTGATCTCATGAAATTGCGTATACCGAGCCCGACACGTATCACGTATTTTTGGCATGCTGATCAACACGCATAATCTCTTTTCAGCGTGTTTATGAATGCCGTTGACTTAACGTTATTACTGTGTGTGTGTGTGTGTGTGTGTGTGTGCGTGTGTGTGTATATATATATATATATATATATATATATATATATATATATATATGAAGAGTTCAGATGCAAAAGCCTCTAAGTGACATTTGAAATTTTCTTCTAGAATGATAATTTTTATCAAGCTTGTATATTTAAGCTCACTAATTTCACTTAAATTGCAATGAAGATTACCTATTAATTGTAACTTAAGTGAAATTACTGAACTTAAATATACAAGCTTGATAAAAATTATCATTCTAGAATAAAATTTCAAATGGCACTTAGAGGCTTTTGCATCTGAACTCTTCATTGTTTTGTTTCGCTCGGACAATTGACGGCGTGTACATACATAAACGTGGAATCACTCGGACATTAATGTTGCCATGCTACGTGCTCAAGCTATGCTATTTGGTAACTCTTACGTTATCTCTATACATTATAAAAGTCGAAATCATGCGTTAGAAAGTGCATTTTCCAGAACAGTTTGTGTTAGCCATTGTTTTGTTTATGATGTTCGGAGGCTATGTTGTTGACAACCACTGATATACAGGGAGTATCCGACGTTGGTTCGTTCGTTATCAGTTAGCTAGGCTGTTTTCACGCATATTTCTAAACAGTTCTCCCTCGCAAAATAGGTTCTAACCCCAGGGGCTTCTCCTGGTTAAATGGTTAAAAGGGTATAATATATAATAAACAATTAGTAGCCTAAAAACTTCCTTCTAGTTGTCATGGATACGCAACGCTCCACTCTGTGTGTAAAGCGACTGCTTGGGTGCGGTGATAAAAAGCAGATGTGAAATATTGTTTACTTTTCACAATGCAGCAGCGCCTGGCTCTACCCAAAAATATGAGTGAAAACTGTGTTGATTGACTTGACAATGAACAAACGAACATAGTTTTAGACAAATACATTTAGATAGCTAAGCTTTAGATAGCCGGTCCACTGATGTGAACAACGGCAACCGGAACCGAAGTACCCAACATCCGCCCTCAAGCCGGAAGTTAGCATTTTTCTCGTGCACAAAGCGAATTGAAATCATGCTATATTTGCGTAAAAAAATAAATAAATAAGTAAAAAATTACTACCGCCCGAACAGGGACTTGAACCCTGGACCCTCAGATTAAAAGTCTGATGCTCTACCGACTGAGCTATCCGGGCTTCGAGAATTCAAAAACATGTAGTATTGTCTATTTCCTCCACTACGCGAATATTTAGTTGATCTAAACACGTTAGATATTTGAAGAAATGACCAAGTCATTTCGATTATCGCTTAGAGATTTCAAATTAATTTCCGCATTCTTTTATATTTTTAAAATATGGAACAATTTTAACGGTCGCGATAAGTCAAACGACAGCTTCTCCTGCCACGGAACGATTTCACTCCTACCGATGTTTGAACAACTGCTTTCTTTCTTTAAAAGATTGATTTTCGATGTAATCTTGTATCTGATGTAAATATGAGTATTTATAAATTCCAAATCATTAAAAAAATTTCTCTCCAACAGGCTCCATAGCTCAGGGGTTAGAGCACTGGTCTTGTAAACCAGGGGTCGCGAGTTCAAATCTCGCTGGGGCCTCACTTCCGTTTTAGGCTGCTGATCGCATTTAGAGAATTTAACATATAAAACAAGCAAGCTTTCGTGAACATTACACACCGAATTCATATCAGTCCATTTGATCTTGTTTTTTGTATCAACGACACCGCCAGTGATTCTGGAATATTTACTTCAGACAAGGTCTATCCTACTTCACTGCCTTTTGTTATTCATTTATATTTTTATCATTTTAGGAGCCCAACAGGATCTTTCTTTGATGACTATTGAGCAAAATGACAAGTAAGTAGTGCTCCGCTATGAACGATAGATGGCACTAAAATGTAAATCTACAAGGAACTTCGGGTCGGGTCATTGCCTGATTTTTTTTCACAAGCAAATTTTTAATGCAAAGTATTTCTTCAACAAATTATATATATATATATATATATATATATATATATATATATATATATATATATATATATATATATATATTTACCCACTGTACACTACACAAATCAATTATAACGCCAGACTATCGATGTGTCTGTTGAGAGAATAATGTTAGAAATCAAACATATTACAATATTTATTTTAGATAGAAATATACAAAAATTAGCAGTAGCTTCGCTGGCACAAAAACAGATAATTGTGACATTCTATCTGACAATTTGTTGCACAATTATTGCGACATTCTGTCTGACAATTTGTTGCACAATTATATCCCAGTTTACATCTCGCAATTGCGGTTTATTTATATCAGAACTGCAAGATATAAAGTCAAATTCTGAGGAAAACATGTCCCTACTGTGAATTAGGTCTATTCTGACTTTACAATGCAATTCTGAGTAGTTTATCTTGCGATTCGGAGGGGAAAAGCCAGAATACCGAGATATAAACAATTGCCAGGGGAAAAAGTCAGAATAATAAAAACACGCATTATGTTTACATTTTTTAATGCAGAGATAGAAACGCGTCCATAGATTTAATATGACATTTAGTTACGTATAAAAAAAAATTAAATTATGTTTATCATGTTTAGAAGTAAAACACAGTTTCAGCAGATTGACGTTGACTGTTTATTTAGGCAAACAGGCTAAATTGGATAATTTCTCTTTATGCAGTTAGTTGGATTGTTATTTGTTTCGTTCTGTTGCAACACAACCGCTGCTTACTTACTCGACTACAAAAATGCAAGAAAATACATGACCAACCAAACAGGTTTCGTCCTCTTTGGAACGTTAAAGTTTGATGTCTAACCAATTTGTGAATGAATCGTTCCTTTGAGTCATACCATTTTAATGAATCAATTGAACCACTTCACAAAACAAGTCTGACGGATTTCTTTCACGAATAGAACTGAATCGGTCCGAGAGCTCAACTGAACCGTGACTCTGATTTTGGGCGGAATAATACATTTCACACTATAATACAACACACAAATATGGAATATGATTAATTAAGAGCAATATGGTAGCCTACTATTATTCTATTTGAAATTCAGCCCTTCTCAAACGGTCTCGTGTATTAGAAGAGCATATTCACGCAGCGATGATGCTCGATTTTTAAGCGGTTAAATAAAACGAGCTGTTCGAAAGAACCGATTCTTGGATATGAGTCGGACTTTTTTTTTTTTATGAGTCGGACTTTCCAGCACCAATTCACGCAGCATTACTCACGGCACGCATTACTAAACTGTGATGATGGTGTTGGGTGTCACTTTATCAACCCAGTGTGCGGATCACAAAACCACGAGCTTTTCACCAGGGATTATTTACATGATCTTCGATAAATTACACCTTGTGCCGCAAGAAACTAACTTGGTGAGGAGAAGAAGAAGCGAAAACTGAGTGACGGTCAACGCCGGTCCGTTGACTAACTTGTTATTTGTTGTCACTCGTGAGGAGTTGTTGAGATCGCTTGCGACCAACCATGGAAGAAGTGATGAGGATATTCATTTCCTGATGATGCGATAAGCGTTATCTACATAAATGTGAGTACACCGAGTTTAACCAAAAACCAGAATATTCAAGCTCAAAACAAATCCTCGTGTGTCTAACGTTATCGACGTTAAACAGACCAGGCATTTCAACTTTGCCGTGCTTTACATTAGCATTAGCAAATCTATCCTACTGCGTTTACAAAACTGATTGTTGAAATCAAGAGATTAGTGCTTAGTTTTTCTGTTCTACTTAAAGGGACACGATGTTACAAGCCTCCGCCGTGGTCGTCTGGGAATGGCTCAGCGAGCACGGGCGCTGGCGGCCGTACAGCCCGACCGTGTCTCACCACATAGAGGAGGTGATAAGAAGCGATCCCCGCGGCGGAAGCGTCGTTCTAGGCCGAGCCGACAGCCGCCTGTCGCCCTACATCATCGATCTACACTCCATGCATCAGTTCAGACAGGACACCGGTAAGATGAAAACCAGCAACGCATCATTATACCTGTGGCAAGCCATAATAACATTCATTCTTTACAACGAACCAGTTTCTATTTTATGTTACTTGTTATGAATTATCTATTAAACATGTACGTTAGTCTAATGGAGACTAGTATCTTGGATTAAAATGCCGTCATCAAGCATTCATGGTATACTAGTGCTTATTATTTTGCTGCTTGTCACGATCCCAGCATTGACAACTAAAATACTATTTTTGTTAGTTATATTTAACATCATCAGCAAGATTTTTAGAACTGTTTTGTTGAATTGAACTAACACTCACATTAAGGTTTCATTTGTTTACATCTGTTATCAGTCTTTGTGAACGTTTGTTAATAAAAATACAGATGTTCATTGTTTGTTGATATTACTTCACAGTACATTAACTAATGTTAAAGGGTTAGTTCACCCCCCCCCCCAAAAAAAAAAAAAAAACAGATCTCATTCCCCATTGACTATCATAGTAGGAAAAAATACATACTATGTTAGTCAATGGGGAATGAGATCTGTTTGATTAAAACAGTCTTCCAAATATCTTCCTTTGTGTGTAGCAGAACAAATAAACACATAGAGGTTTGGAACAACATGAGGGTGAGTAAATACTGACAGAATTTTCATTTTTGGGTGAACTAACCCTTTAATAAATACAACTTTTTGATATCAATGATTTATTTGTATATATTGAAATGGACACGGACAAAGATTAATAAATGCTCAAAAGAGCAGTTCATAAACTAATGTAGTTAAATAAATTTAACTTAATGGAACCTTTCTGTAAAGTGTTATCAGAAATGTTACTAGTACCTTTTGGGAATGGATACTAGCATCTCATAAACTGGTTTTTAGTAAAAATGGAATTGAGAATGAGAATGTGACGTTACACGTTCCACTCTGCATTGCATTGTTGGAAGGTGTCGCCATCTTATCCGTTGTCATGGTTACTTCGACAGTGAGAGAGAGAGAGCAGCTTGATATTTGTTTATATTTTTGCGATAAGGCACAGTTTCTTAGAAATAAATGAAGAAGGGAATCAGAAGAAAAGGGGCTCTATCAGGGGACACTAAATAACCAGGCAGCGTTATTTAGAGAAACTACTAACTTGACATCAACAACATGGACCCGTACTCTCTATGACTCTGGATTCTTGTAACGTGAAATTACTAGTAACCAAACCATAAGTGCTAGTACCTAGTGAACAAAACTGAAATATAATCCAGTGACAATTAGTATAAATAATATTCAACACAGACATAACACTACCCTTGTTTTCTTGTAAAATTTCCACAAGCACATTATCAAGGTCTGTCAAAAGCACACAATTTACGTCAGACAGAGGCCTTGGTATGTAAGAGGACACAGATTAAAGTTACTCAAAGTGATTGCAAATTCTTGCAGCAAAACTGCCTATTTATCCCCATAGACAAAGTGCATTTGCGTTACTCTATTTCATTAGAGAAAAAACAACAACACATAACTGCACCAGCCTACTGCGAATAATGGTTTAGAGATACACACCCAGGCAGCTCCCCAAAATGATCTTGTTGTCAACACCCAAATCATTTTGAAACTAATTTTTTGTCAGGTAATGTTTTGTAACCAAACATCCATGACATGAGCTTAGTGACATCCGCGACCCTCATCGCTCTTTCAAGACTTGCCCTAAAAAACCTGCTAACTGACTTGCTCAGTCACATTTACACATTGTGGAGTGAAGTTCCATAATATAAAGCATTACCTAGGGAAATGAGCACACGTCCAAGTGAAAGAACGAAACTTCAAAGATAGATTGCAGAGAGATAGGGAGCGGTTGTTTTTGTGCAACAGGCTAGGATGTAGTTTCATCAACTCTGGGCCCAGGGGTGCTGTCAGTTACTCTGTTTTCCATTGCAGACTGGAGATTAGTATAAAACGCACACGCATAGAGCAGGATTATGTTTTTCTTCCGATCTTGTCATCCAATGACTCTCACATGATTAGGCTAAAGAGTTGAGGGAATGTTATAATTTCTTTCAAGCTGACCATTTTGTGAATCATTTATGTTGGTTGGTATCACTCTTTCCTTCCCATAAACACACACCTACAGAATCAGTCAAAAGTTTGGAATAATAAAGATTTTTGAATGTTTTTGAAAAAAAAAAAAAGAAACTCTTATTCTCACCAAGGCTGCAATCAAAATAAAACACAGTAAAACAATTTTGTGTAAAATTGTTACAATTTAAAATGGCTGTTTTCTATAATGTAAAATCATTCTAATGTTATGATTTGCTGCTCAAGAAATATTTTTTACTATTATCTTGAAAACATTTTTGAAATATTGAAAACATTTTTGTTGCTGATGCTTTGATGAATAAAAAGTTCAAACGAATAGCATTTATTTAAAGACCATAATAATAATTTTGTAACATTATATGTTACTGTCATTTTTAAGGTCTCATTTATGAAGAATGCATTTTTTTCTTATCTCACTTAGACTCACTAACCACAAACCTTTGAATGGTAGTGTTAGTGTATTATGGTTTCCGCAAAAACTTTAAGCAATAAAAACTGTTTTCAACATTGATGATAAAAATAAATGTTTAAACACCAAAATCAGCATATTAGAGTGAATTCTGAAGGATCATGTAAACTGAAGACTAGAGTAATGATGCTGAAAATTTAGCTTTGTCATTACAGGAATAAATTACATTTTAGTGTACTGTATATTCAAATGGAAAACTGCTCTTTAAAATGGTAATAATACCACAGATAAACCAGTTATTTTTTGTTTGTTTTCATCAAATAAATGCTGCCTTGGTTAACCTTGAGAGACTCCTTTAAAAAATATTTTCTAGGTAGTGTAGTTGTTGAGCTTACTTTCTGCTTGTGTACTTTAAGCACTGCTTTTCAATTCTGAAACCCACTTTATAAATAGTTTGGTCACTTCTCTGTATCTACAACAGTTTTTAAGTAGCCTACCAAGCTTCATTTTCAGATAGCGTCCTTCTCATTTTTGTCACGGTCAAATGTTTGATGATTGGTTCATTTTTACACTTAAATAAATTCTCAAATGAAGCGGTTAAATGCTCACCAAGTGACTTTCAGAGTGGATCTAAAGTCTGGGGAAGAAGTTCATGCATTCGTGTCCTCAAAAGTTCATGCATTCGCTGTTTTTTGTTGGCAAAAAATCAGCCCGTTTGTGTGTGTGTGTCCATTTCGAGTGTTCTGAACTTTTTTATATATTCATCATCCGCGATTCCGCGATAATCGTCTGCGTTTTCTCGAAATCATCCTGAAAATAATAGCTGCTAAAAGTTACCACATGGTGCCACATTTTTTTTTTTTTTTTTTTTTGTAGAATATATTTTTATCTTTCTTTCAGGGCTGGTGAGGGATAATTTTGTACTTACAAAAAAAAAAAAAAAAAAAAAAAAACAATGGTAGGGGAAATTGCACGTGTCAAATGTTTTTATGGAATAATTTTTGCATTTATAATTCATTACATTTAGAAAAGCATTCTTTTTTCCATTTAGAATTGAAAGAAAAGAAAGTGGAATAAAGTTGTTAGTTTGAAAGAGGGAAGGGAAATGAAAATTGGGGCAATGATGGAAGCACAGAGCCATCAACAATGGAACAGATGGACGGTCTCTGTACACCTGCTGTATAGGGCTTTGTGCCGCTGCAAAGGTCCTGGGATCCTTAACCCAATGTCACAGTTTATGATCTGCTGTAACACAGCCTTTCACTCCCACTCACATACTAGCACAAGCTTGAAAACTTAAGTGCAGGCTGTATGATTGATTGGCATGTGAAAGTGGACATGGCCATCTGTTGCTTTGGCCGTAATGTTGAGACTCGAGGAGGCACAGTATTATCTAGTTTTATCTGGACAGACTATATTGAACTGAAACTGTAGTATTAAATTACAATTTTGGTGCATCACGATCAATACTGACAGATCCTAGAATCATTGACTTAATGTCGTGTATATAATGTTTTCTTTCGTAATAGACTAATAAAGTACAGGTTGATCTTTAAACATGTTTTTTTTGTTTTATTTAAAATCAATATATATATATATATATATATATATATATATATTTCCCCAAAAAAAATCTAGCATGTGACTGTGTAGAAGAATATGACAATTGTCCAATTTAAGTTTAATGAAGTGTGGACACTGGACAGCCTTGTTTGGGAGACTCATGGGAGTGTCATACCATGATTCTTGCAGTGCAGGCGGGGTTGAAAAAATTAAATTAGATTAATAGGTATAATAATCAGATTTAGTCAAAACATGTATCACAATTAATCCCAAGTAATGACATATTTTTTTCTTTTTCTTCAAAAGCTTAATGCAAAAAATAGGCACACAACCCATTCAAAGATGAATTTTTTTTTAAAGAAATTCATATTTTTATTCAGCAAGGATGTATTAAATTGATCAAAGGGGAAACAAATCAGCAAAATACATTGATTATCAATCATGTGACACTGAAGACTGAAGTAATGATGCTGAAAATCACAGGAATAAAAAACTCAAGATCCTGATCTGATCCCAGTAGTCATGCTCTCGTGCTCTTCCTTCTTTGACAAAAGAATTTCAGTCCATCAAGGTCAGACGTCTGCACATAAAAACATGAAGACTTGGAGAACACTGGAGAATCATGTGACACAGAAAACGAGTTATGGCTGTTAAAAAATCAGCTTTGGAATACTATTTCCAGGAATACATTACATTTAAAAAAAAAAAGTTTTATATATATTTTAATTTCTTATCATATTATGTTCACTCACTTTCTAAAAGCAGCCCCTGAGATACATATTATCAGTGTGGCAGTGTGAGATCGCATGCAGTTAAATACCACACATCATTTATTGTTAGCTTGACTATAATTCAGTGAAATTACTTCTCATGAGCTACAAAGGAAAGAAAAGATATTGGCAAATAGTTATCTATTCATCTTTTAACAAAAGAGAACAAAAGACAGTTTCATTCATGTACAATAGAGCTGAGAGGGCATGACTGTGATTTGAGGCACAGAGCTGGTAAAGTGAGTTCAAACACATTAAAGTATGATCAAAGCATACTCCACCTCATTTCTGGAACATGCTTTATAAAATTCCATAATGTCTACAGAAACATGCAACACATGATGTGTTTTATACCATTTGAAGCTATAGTAGGTGTATATGGGTGTTAAAAGGAGAATATGTCCTTTCACAAGTTTTATGGCTTCTAGAACTCAGCGAAAGTTTATGCCTCAGTGGGTCTTTTGTGCTCAGTGGCTTTTGCTCTATGCTCAAATCTATTTATTCACATGGTTTTTGCTTTCTGTTTGTGTGTGCACTACGTCATGAATTTCTAAATGCATTTTGTGCATTGGCTTAATGGATATTGCATGTGTTCTTCTCAGTTACTGCTTTAAATTTGATTGAAGAATTTTTTCTCTAAACACTCAAGATCCTGATCTGATCAGTCTTACTGGAGAGCATGTAACTTTATTTCTGCTCCGATTAATGGGTTTAAATTCAAAGGATGTGCAAAGCACAACAATAGGCATTCAGTCAGTATAATGGAGAATTGAACGCTTACATTGGACATCTAACCGAAAGTGACACTGCTTCTTTTTTCATGTTTTAGACTATAAAGCTGCTTACTTTAAAGCAAACTCTTTTCTATAAAGTTCCGAGCTGGTGCAAAAAAACATCCAATTCTCTATGATCAGATGTTTTCTTAACTTTTTACTTGTGCATTTTGTTATTGAGAGAAAAAAGCATGCAGTTCATGTTTACGTATTATATACATCTAAATACTGCTCACAGCAGTCGGCATCAGGATTTTTGTTTAGTGTTTACTGCTGCTCAGGTATTTCAAACGTCTTTTTTCCCCAAACCAATGAACAAAATAAAAGGATATTGGTGCCTTTAGATGTGTAATATGTTGCCTCTCTTGTAAGAAAACACTTTATTTAACTGGTGTATTATCTCTTTTATTATAAATGATCTATAACTTTTTGTTTACCTTCTCAGGTACGTTGAGACCAGTGCGACGGAGTTTCTATAACCCCACCTCAGCGCCAGGCCAAGGTTGGATATGGGAGTGGGAAAATGATGCAGGTTCTTGGACAGCCTTTGACATGGAGGTGAGCATTGCCTTGCAAGCGGCACAGGATCGACAGCAACCCTGTTTGGACCTGACATCGTTGGGCTTTTGCTACTTTGTGGACTTCCAGACCATGACCCAGATAAACAGGCAAACGCAGCGACAGAGACGCATCCAGAGACGCTCAGACATGGTTTACCCACTAGTTACTGGGCCACTGCCTAAAAATTCACTGGCTTGGGGTACTGGCTCAGGGACTGGAGGCATGGCTAGAAAGGTTACAGCAGGTGGAGGATCAACGGGGGCTCTTCTTGGGGTAGGCGTTTCTGGTTCTACCTTGAGTAGAAAAGGAAGTGCCGTTTACCCAAGCGGACGCTTTCGGTATCATCTCTTGCTCCTCTCGGACAGCCCTGTGCCTGCCAGCAGTGCATGCTGGTGTTGAGTGTAAAGGCAAACGGCGCTGCAACACAGACACTGGGACGTGCAACAAAGCCAAACAGTCCAAAATCCAACTTTGGGACACTTCCATCCTCCTCTGTTTTAAGCTCGTATTCTCATACACTACCACATGGAACATCTTTAAAATCCATGCCCACGGAAGCCAAAAATTCTGCTGCTTTTGATCAGTCGTTGTCCCTTCTCACATCGGCCACTGCCAATCTCTCAATCTCCTCTAGCCGCCAAACGCCTACATCTTTGCCCCCAACTCTGCCATCACAGAATCAGCTGCCTCCATCCACCGCAAGTTTATCATCTTCAGCAACGTTTGTGCCAACTGCCATACTTGTTAACACGTCAACAAGTCCCACGCCATCCACAGTTTTTACGTCATCATCTTCTTCAACGTTGGCCTCTCAGCGCTCCGTTGCCTGTGCTGCCCCTCTACCACCTCGTGCCAGTCTGGCAGGGCTTAGTCAGCCTGCTTTGCAGAGAATTGCCATGGCACAGTCACGAGTACTTATTGCCTCTGGGTAAGAAAAGGCATTTTACCTGTTTTGTCAGTTTCATATACAATACCATCAGTAAGATTTTTTGGAAGAAAGTAATACTTAGCAAGGTTACATTTTAAATTGATGGTTTCCACAAAAAATGTTAAGCAGCACAACTGTTTCACACATTGATAATAGAAAGAATTTGTGTGTGTTTTCGTGACAAAACGTGGTTCGGGGACTGGATTGTCAGCTCGTGTAGTGTGTAACTAGAGACGTTCCAATACCCTTTTTCCCTTCCCGATACCGATTCCGATACCGGCTGATACCGAGTACTGATCCGATACCTGGGTGTGTACAGTATCTATACAGCTGTAATTCAGCTGCAAACTAGCGCTGTTGGAATTGATAGAATTATTTTTTGGTTTGCTTCAGACTTATTCTTTAATTAAACATGAACAAATACATACAGTGAACTATTATTTTTATTATTAGAGGTTTTTTTATGATCTGACATACATTTTACAGCAATATATTATTTATCTTTCTTAAGTGAAAAAAAAAACTTAAAATGCAACCACACGTCTAATACTGTAAACTGCAAGTTGTTTTAGTTTTACAATATAACTGTATAAAAAAGCACTACAAAAAAAAAAAATGATACATGAATAATATAAGAAAATAATCTCTTTATAACATAATAAATCCATAAACAATTTTGTTAAATAAATGGCTTTTCAGTTTTGACAGTGGCTGGTCATCCAGAACAATAAACTATACATGTTGTCAGTTATATTTATCGCTTGTTGGCTGTCCTTTGAAAACTTTTTTTCTTTGTTTGAATGAAGCTTTCAGAGATTGTTGATTGAGCAGCAAAGAAGAATTGATCTCTGAATTGCAGCGTTAAGCAAAGCTAGCGTGCATAAATAGATATTGTTTAAGGAAATGGTATCGGATCGGTACATGGGTCGAAGTGCTCACCGATACCGATTCCAGAAATTTTATTGGTATCGGTGGCATGTCTGATACTAGTATCGGAATCGGAACAACTCTGTGAAACTCCATGTTGCAGATCATTTACATAGGATCACTTGTGAACACCACAACGACTTCAAGACTCCAGAGAAATTCTTGTGGTCTAACAACATAGCAAATTGCTGACATTTTGTTGTGTAGTTGTGTAGTGTGAACTAGGCATCGAAATCTGGGTTTTGATTTGGTTACTTATGTACTGGTTCCATATTGGTACCGGGTTTCGGTACCTAACCCTAGTTAGGAAAACTTTGTGGACTTTAGGAAACAGACTTAAAGGGTTAGTTCACCCAAAAATGAAAATTATGTCATTAATGACTCACCCTCATGTCGTTCCAAGCCCGTAAGTCCTCCGTTCATCTTCGAAATACAGTTTAAGATATTTTAGATTTAGTCCGAGAGTTTTCTGTCCCTCCATTGAAAATGTATATACGGTCCTTGTCCAGAAAGAAAATAAAGACATCATCAAAGTAGTTCATGTGACACCAGTTGGTTAGTTACAATGTTTTGAAGCATCGAAAATACATTTTGGTCCAATAATAACTAAAACGAAGATTTTATTCGGCATTGTATTCTCTTCCTGTTCTGTTGTCAATCCACGTTCACGAGTCCGCAGTGACGCTGATGATGTAAGACGCTGCTGACGTGTTATCTGGTGTGTCTGTGTATTCGGGTTCAAATAAATATGGCTGGGCAAAAAAATGCAAGTCTTCCTCTGTGTCAAAATCCTTAGACATGTTTGCGGAGATTGTTTTGTTTACGGCGTGCGTCTCCCTCGGACTGTAAATGAAGCTCTGATAAGCCATGTTCAGTGTCGCTAGAGACGTAAGACACTGCTGACGTTGACAACAGAACTGGAATACAATGCTGAATAAAGTCGTAGTTTTTGTTATTTTTGGACCAAAATGTTTTTCGCTTCAAAAAATTCTAACTAACCCACTGGTGTCACATGGACTACTTTAATGATGTCTTTATTTCCTTTCTGTAAAAGCACAGTATATACATTTTCAATGGATGGATAGAAAATAGAAAACTGTGTTCCGAAGATAAACGGAGGTCTTACGGGCTTGGCTCGACATGAGGGTGAGTCATTAATGACATAGATTTCATTTTTGGTTGAACTAACCCTTTAATCGACTAACATCACCAGTGTATTAGGCCTATATAATTTGGGTGTCAGCCTCACTCATGTATGATTGTTTTCATGTTTTTCCCCCTCCTCTGTGTAGGAGTGTGTTTCTCACGTTTCTTGCACTGCTAAATCATCCATGTCTGCTCTGTTTGATGACCATCTGGGGACAGAATGGTCTTATTGTTCCATCCCCACCCCCTTTAAATCTATAGCTGTTTCTGTGGCTTTTCCCGGAGCTCTCAGTGGTGATTTCGTGTTCACACTGGGTTTCTGCAACACCCTTTGTTGACATGACATTGACTGGTCTGCATTAGCAACACAATGCGGTCTCACTAAAGCTTTTGACATAGTAGAGTGTGCGTGCATCTCTATGTTAGGAAGGAGTTGGAGTCACGAGCAAAAGGTTTTGACATTAAATGTAGCAACAATGGTGTCCCAGTGTTTCCTGAAACATTAGATGTGACTTTTGGTAATAAAGTCACAATTTGAATTGAAGTGCTGGACGCCTTTGAGAATAAACTATGTGTAGATGCAGCCAGAGGTAGAATTTGAGTATTTTTACTCTTTTGCATCTTATTTTGAATACAGGAATCGTACCTTGGCTAGATTGTAAAGCAATTACAAAAGAGACTATCATCCTACACAGATGTTGTGACATACATGTGTCCAAATGCAGGAGAACATTGTGAGTCTGGTGCTCTTTCTATTGGAATGTTCTGCCTCAGACGTAAAGCCATCTGGAGTCACAGAGCAGCAGTTGTTGAGCATGTGTGAGAGAGAAAACAAAGAGACAAGTCTGTTGTAGAGGCAAGATCAAGGGTCAGTGGAGGTCAAAAGCTTCCCCATTGGCCCTATCCAAACAGCCATCTTCCTTCCCGTGTCTGACACTTCTGTTTTTCAATGGAAAACAAAACGGGAATATAAAACAAAATTTACTGCTGCAGTGTTGATCATTGGCTAACCTGTCATGTCATCATTTTAAGCAAACGCTCAACAAGCTCTTCTTTTACCACTAAACCACTTCAGCATATTTGGTTCAGTTTTCACTTTCGTGTGAAAAACATATGTTGCAAATAAAGTGTACCTTAAACAGATCTTCCAATCAAGAGAACAAATGTGGCAGTAGTGGTGGTTTTTTTTTTTTTTTTTGTATTATTGTGGTTTTGTTGATTACAGATTCGTCTGTTCCTAAATGTCACACCGCAGCTCTTTTTTGTTTCTATGTCAACTGATGTATCTTTTGCTGGCATCAGAACATATTGTTATGTGAGTTTCGGAAGGAAGGGAGCATGACGATGAGGATATGCAACCGTAAACGGGGACATTGCTATTTAGGTCAGCAATGTACCTGTTACACTTGAAATTAAGCTATTCATATATAAATCTAAATCACACATTTTGCATTTTTTATGCACAGACTAACAGCAAAAAAATCTAGAGGAGTGGTTTTCAACTAGGGGGCCTCAACAAACTTCCAATGGGGACTCAATATGATTTTAAAATAAGACAAAAGCATTAAAATTGGCAAAAACATTGACATCTAAAATTTGCATCTTTCTTGTTTTGGAGATTTTCTACCGCTTTTCTTTGAAATAGATGACTGTTATAAATGACTGTTTAAAAGTGTAATCCTGTTCCTTCCTTCATACTGAACCATTAACTGTTAATCCTCTAAATGTTTTATGTTTTCTTTCTTACTACAAACATTAGAGATGTGCTTGTGTGCATTTGTGAATATATTGTGAGGTTAGTCACCATCTGGAAAAAAAAAGTGTTATTCTGCGTTCACACTACCGGTGACTTTGTCACTGCATGTTACCATGGCTGACGGTGAGGTTGCTTGTGGGTATTCCCACTACTGGTTGCTTGTCATTCACAGACTCCATGTTATAACCATTCAGTGTTCTTGCCTCTACAAACAAGTATTTTGGAAGGAAAAATCACCACAGACATATCATAAATTATAGAAAAGTTGCTGACTTTCCATCTTGCTTCTGACTTCACTCCTATTGGTTGTCGCTCCCGAAAGTCGCTCTTCATTTGCATAAAGTTAAACATATCTCAACTTTGCTGTGTCGCTGGAAATGCCTACATCCTTTCGCCAAGTGTTACTGTCGCTCGTGTTGTCGGAAATTGCCAGCCCTCTATTAAAATGAATGGGATTGTGTCCCTGGTTGTGAGAACTCGGCTTTAGACTTATTATCAGTTAGGAAGATCGATTACCCCCAACACACACACATGCACAAAAAAAAAGGCTAGGGGCCAACATACCTTCCAGTAAAAGGAGATAAGAAAATGAGTGTGGGAAAATACCTCAAGACAAAACCATTGAGGATGTGAAGAGGGAAGCAAAATGGCTGTATATTAGAGTTGCTTTCTTTTTCTTTTTTTTCTTTTTTTGGCCTTTTGGTATTTATTTATTTTTCCTTCATTTTTCACACTGATTTGACCAAAATAGGCTTATATAAGAGTAAAATAGTCATTTGAGACTTAGCCGAAAGTGTCAAAAAGTACATTCAGTTAGATATCATGTAACTGTTGATATTGGAAGAAGAACAATGGTTTTGTGCATGCTAGTCGTTAAACAAGAATTTCACGTTGAAGTTTTGAAATGTAATAGTTTGCAAGGAAATACTTGGTAATGAAGAAACTGGCAGAATGTCTGGGTCATATTTTTACACAGCATTTCATAATCCTCATCTTACAGTTCAGAGAAAGTTAGCACTGAATTAGAGCTGTCACTATACAAGATTGTCACTACACGATTATCTTGTTTAAAATAATTCATGATTACAATATTATCGCATATATATTGATATTTTGTTGATTTAGCTTAAACTGATTCTGTTTTTAATTAGTTTTTTTTTTTTACTGGTGCTGTATATGATCAAATATGTTGTATTAACATGATATAAATATTACATTTTCTGAAACGTCACTATAATGCGATACACCTCTACAATGAATAAAATCTTCAAGTTGAAGAGGGAAAAATACCTGCAGTTTTGAAGTTTGTAGGTTCAGCATGTCAATTGCTTTTATGAAACAATTTGTTGTCTCTTAAAATCTGCATGAAATGGAAACATTTATTGATTTTTGTCCATTGTGAATTAATTGAATTGTTGGAACATTGCTAATGCTCTGATCTCATCCGAGTGATGTTAAATAATTAGTCTGGTAAACTACTTAATCTGTTGGTTTGACAGGAGAACATTCTGTAAGGCAGCAGTCAGTGTGTCCACTGGCCTTATAGAGCTTTTTTTTTTTTTCTCCTAGGATACCGACAGTACCAGTGAAGAATCTTAATGGCTCCAGCCCTGTCCAACCGGCATTAGCTGGTATGAGAACAAGACGCATTCTTAATACACTATTAGTAATTGTTTAAATAAAAATTATAAACTGACAATACATTACACGTGTGTATTTATGATGCATTGCAGGTATTACTGGTATTCTGATGAGTGCTGCAGGACTACCTGTATGTTTGACCCGTCCACCAAAATTGGTTCTGCATCCTCCACCTGTCAGCAAAAGTGACATCAGACCGATTCCTGGGATCGGGAACTGTTGCCGCAAGACCACCAAGAAACAAGCCCGCAAAGGTGAGAATCCATGTACTTACTGTACTTACCATGTACTTACTTAAAATACATTGTTCTGCAGTGCTGAAAAAGTTTGTTTCTGAAACTTGCTATTAAGGAAGCATTTCTAGCAATTTGATTTTCCACGGTGTAAAAGTTGTACCTGTTCCTGCTTTCTGGTACTTTTTTGTACCACCTCCGGCGAGGTTCTAAAATGTCGATACAAAAATGTCACATGAAAACAATGCCAACTGCTGATTGGTCAGAGAGAATCGTCATCATTACACGTGCCAGATGGAGTATCCAGAATAACCCCGCTATTTTTAAATAGTTTGGCCAGAGATAGTTACTAAACTAACTACTATTATTATGGCAACTCGGAAGAATACGCCATGGTCAAACGAGGAGGTGCAGACCTTACTTTCTTTGGTTGCCGACGAGAGGATCCAGCGAGAGATTGATAGGGCAACGAGAAACGAAAGGTGTCACTATGACGACCGGGGACTATTTGTGGTGGTACTTTCTGCAATGGAAAACAGAATGAAAAGCGAGCTGAGTCGAGCCAAGCCAAGTCGTATCGAGCTGGTACTGGTAATTGAGAAGCGCCATTCGAAAGCAACTGCTGAAATGCAATGGCCACCAATCAATACCAGCTGTTCCCATCGATTGTCACTCAGCAGACTTATACACACGACAAATGGAATATTTGAAATCTCATACTGAATATTTTAACATAAGATTAAATGCTTAACACATTAATGTGATTTGTTTTCAAGGTAAAACACCTGAGGAAGTGGTAAAGAGGTACTTGCAGAAGGTCAGGAATCCACCAGAAGAAGTAAGACATCCTTATTATTTTATTTCTTTAATCTCTACGTGATCTAAACCTCTTCTGTAACCCTTGGCTAGGAGACTTAGGAGATATCTGAGCTGCTAGCTAAACCGAACCCAAAGGCGCATCTGGTCCTGACTCTTTGTGGATATATATATTACATCCTACTCATGTAAATAAATCTATACTATATTGTTACGTTCCAGCCAGTCTAGTATAGGGGAAGCAACATTAAAGTTAAAGGGATACTCCACTTTTTTTGTAAATACGCTCATTTTACAACTTCCCCAGAGTTAAACTGTTGAGTTTGACCTTTTTTGAATCCACTCAGCCGATCTCCGGTTCTGGCGGTTCTATGAGTCCACGATCACCCCTAAACTCTTTATATGATCTTCGAACTTTAGGGACAAGGAACCTAAACGATCAGGAAAGGTTAGGTGAGATGGGAGAGCCTACAATCAAAACCTCAGTTTTATTCTCATTTAATTGGAGAAAGTTGCTAGAAAGCCAAAGTTTTATGTCGCTGTAACATTCCTGTGCTTTGACCAGCGAACATGTTTTATCTAAGTTCAAAAAAGTAAACCTGGAGGTCGTCGGCATAACATTGGTATGAAATACTATACTTCTTAAAAAATAGTGCTAAGAGGAAGCATATACAGACACTATATAGCAAATCTCAACTCTCAAATTCAAGAGACATTAAGGAACCAAACACTCCAACTAGTGTCATTTGAGATGACACTTTGGACATTTGACTGCCTGGATATAAAATGCAGCATCTTATTGGCTAAAGGAGGATGGAAAAAAACAATTATGTTAAATCTACATGTCGGGTAATGGCGTTCGGTATCAGCATTGTGTATTTCTTTCAGGATTGCACTATCTGTATGGAGACTCTGTTGGGACCCTCTGGGTATAAAGGTCCAGGTGTAGCGAGTGGTTCACGTGCTGAGTCCGTCGGACGACTGGCGCAATGTGGGCATCTTTATCACCTACAGTGCCTAGTGGCCATGTACAACAATGGCAACAAAGATGGCAGCCTGCAGTGTCCCACATGTAAGACAATATATGGAGTTAAGACGGGAAACCAGCCACCCGGTAAGATGGAGTACCATGTCATCCCGCACTCACTTCCAGGATACCCAGACTGCAAAACCATTCGCATCATCTACAACATACCTGCCGGGATACAGGTATAACTACATCATATATATATATATATATATTATAATGCATTTACACTTGGCCTGCATCCCATCATTATCATATTTGATAAAATATCCTCTCTCTTTTCTCTCAAGGGTCCTGAGCATCCAAATCCACGGAAGCCTTTTACTGCGAGAGGATTTCCCCGTCATTGTTATCTCCCAGACAATGAAAAAGGACGAAAGGTCAGTCCTCTTAACATACAGAGCATTAAAAAAAAAAAACTTCACCTTCTACACTACCGTTTCAAAGTTTGGGGTTGGTACAATTTCTTTACGTATTTTCGTTTTTATTCGTTCAAAACACATTAAAAACAGTGATATTGTGAAACATGATTACAATTTCAAATAACTGTTTTCTATCTTGATATATTTTAAAATGTATTTTATTTCAGTGACACTGCAACACTTGAAAAGCACTGTTGTTAATCACAGAATATGAATAAAGGATTATTATTACAGTAATCGATATATTTGAAATGCTATTTATCACAGCTGAAACAAATGTATTCAACAGCATACAATACAGTAATGTTAGATTGCATTACAATAGGCTAGAATAAGGGGAAAGCGAATTCTCTGCTTCTCACAATGGGGCTTCTCAGGTGCTGCGAGAAAATCACTCATATGAGCTTGTTATTTGTACACACTGTGACTATACAAATCACAACATATAAATAGTTGGCACTTATTTGGAGCAGGATGCTAGCTGGACCCATTTACTTCCAGTCTTTGTGCTAAGCTAGGCTAGCGGTCAACGCATCAGACAGAGTAACAGCACACAAAGAGGTTAAAAGGGTATGTATGGACTTAACTAACTCTGGGGGATACGGTGATTAAGCTAAAGTCCCAAAAAATCAGCGTGTTCCAACCCTCCTAATGCACCCAAACAAGATGCATAAACATTTCTGTTTTTAATACAAAATTGAAACTGGGAATGCATTAAGACTTTCAAATTTTTATTTTATTTATTCATTTGTTTATTTATCTCATTTTTGTATTATTATTATTTTGAATGTAAGATTTAACCTATAAACTAAATTGTTACCCCTTTTTCTGGTCCGTTTTGACCTGAAAGTGAACTGTGGCTTTACACAAGAAATTATGACAAAATAAATGAATGTCTGTTTGTAGATCAAAAGTTAATAGACCAAATGGTCTAAATTTGATCAAGGAAATAGGTTTGGAAAAAGGAGAGGTCCACATTTAACTCTGCTGCCACCTATTGATGAACCACTGCAGCATGATAAAGTTTTGGTTATGCAATATGTAGTAATATGTATATAGTAATATGAATATATTTTATTTGAAAACATTGCAGGGTAATATTAATGTTGTTTTGTTAGATCCATTGAAGCCTGTGGATTTAATACGGGTAATTCAATAATGCAAAGGTGTATACCGTTTTTTTATGGATTAGAAGGGTTAAGGTTACTTCTATTAGAGTGCAAAATTATGTTAAAACAAATGTACCAAAAAGCGCCTTAGAACACATTAAGTTTGTGTCACATATGTAGGTCTAATTGTTATTTAAAGCTTTCCAATGATATCAATATGTTGTCCGGTTCTTAGGTGTTAAGGCTTTTGTTGGTGGCGTGGGACCGACGGCTGATCTTCTCCGTGGGAACATCCAGCACCACCGGGGAATCAGACACCGTCATCTGGAATGAGGTCCATCACAAGACAGAATTCGGCTCCAATCTTACTGGACATGGCTTTCCAGATTCTGGCTATCTTGCTAATGTACTAGAGGAGCTTAAAGCCCAGGGCATCACTGAAGATGAGGAGCAGCAGCTCTGAGAGGATGTTTCCGATGATGGTGAAAGAAAAATGATGGTACTAGATGTGCATTTGAAATGGGGAGCACAGAAATATGTGATTTAATATGAAAATAACTAATGTGATCAATTGGTACAGATAACTGTGTGATTTCGCACAGAGGTACAAGTCGGTGTATATTCTATAATCTCAATACGGAGTACTTTGGCATGAAGTAACACAACAATAGCACTATTCTGATGGGATAAGTATTACCTGGTGACCTCTAGCCATTTGTAATAATTGCGGAGGTTGTCCGCGATCTTAATCCTGTGTGAATCGGCCATGTTTGTAATTTGTAAAGTAAAAATTCCCCCGCAAATGGCCTACCATATTTTGTCGAACACCGAGGTCCTGTGTTAACATTAGTTCCGTGCGAATCGGCATCTCTGTGATTTGGCGGGGTCGTTTATAATTTTTTCAATAGCCTAATGTCATCATATCCAGGAAATAAGTCAGTAAATTCGAATAAAATCACAGGCTTCGCCTATCTCGTGCGAATGCGTCACGCAAAACTTAGATGTAGGGGGGTGATTTCAAATTCACACGAGGTTCCCAGATAATACTAATCCCGTGCGAATAGGGCTTAAAATTATATTTGGTTAAAGGTGAAAGACAGGTTTGAAGGAAAAAGGAAAGTGTGGCAAGCAAAAATGGGAAGTGGAGGAGACTTGTGGATGTAGAAAATGAGGGAATAGAAAGACTAAGAAAATGCTGGTTAATGAAGCAACAGAAATGTTTTATTTGAGTTAAGTTAGGTTGCAGTGTGAGTTTGTGTACATTGTGTAAAATCAACTCTTGTGCCTCCACTAGCTGGAAACTGTTTACTGGAACTGAGAAGTATAGTTTGCATCTGAATGTTTGTATTATCATGCATCATTCCCTGTTTTCAAAATGTATTGAGAGCTTATACTATGTTTGTAAAGATTATGTGTGCATGTGTTTCAGAAGTCAAAATGGAGCAGAAATTTTAATATCAAATTGATTTTGAAATGAGTTTAATGGAAACATGATTTATGCTTGTTTAAATGAAGCATGAGAACTCTAACTAGTTGTTCTTCTTCAGATAATGTGAAGGTACTTGATATGCTCATTAAGAAAAAAGATGTCTGTAATATGTTTCATATATATTATGAAATATTACCTTTTCACGGTACAGAAATCCAATTTGGTTTTAAGCTAAGAAGTTTAACTATGAATACAATGAATAAATAAATATGTTCAACTTTAATACTGAAAAATAATCAAATTAATAAAGATTGAGCTGGATACAGTGAAATGACAAGCACTTCATAGAGACAGTAGATGGATAGATGGTTAAAGAGATCCCTAGGGGTCAGTTTAGTAATTGTTTGCCAAAATGATTTTCGCAAACTCAACATATTTGGAATAAAATATGATTTAGCTCTTTTTAACTGTTCTTTACTGACATGTACCCTGTTTTTAGGCCAGTCTGTATGTTAGGTCAATTATTGACCTGTTTTATAATAATCAACTTCTTATGACCTAAAGAACATGCCACTGTTTGGCATGTGTGTATCTGCATGTGGATTGCCCATGCATCATTTGTATGCCTGCATTTGTGCGTGATTAAACAAAAGAGTGTATGCCATGCATCCACCACCCAGAGGGATGGTGTGTTGCTCATCTGTTTAATATTTTTTTTTTCATGTATTTTTCTTTTAAATTGATGTTTTCTTCTATTTTCATAGTTTACAATATTTTAATGTTTCATATTGAGAACTTTTATACTCAAAGGTGAGCCTCAACTGTTTTTGGTTTCTTTTTTCCTTCCTACATAATAAAAGCCATTTTTGATAAGCCATTTTCTTAAGTTGTGAAAAAAAATGTTGTGAAGTGTTGTTTTGTAATATGTTATATATAGACCCAGCAACCTCCCTCTTCATTGAGATAAGATGATCAAAACATATATAAAGTTGCAGTCCATAGCTTTTTTGGGGTGTTAAAAATGATCCAAAATACATATTTGAGAAAATACATAACCAGTCAGTGTTCAAAACTATGCCTGCTTGCCGATTTAAAGCTCTAAGCTTGACATAATGTTTTTAATTCTAGTGGTATTGGTGGATTTCCACAGGAGATTCAAGCATGTCTTTGCGTCATTATGTCACATCTGTACACAAAAAGATGGAGTCTCAGCTAGTATAAGCTAAATTGCATGAGAGGATGCTGGAGTGATGGGCGATACCACTTATTTTGTTTTCGATACGATACCGATACTTTCAAGGCCAGTATCGCTGATACCGATACTTCTAAACTGAACTTTTACATTTGAACATTTCTTAAATTTTTAACTTTAAAGGTGCCATGTATAAAAATTGAGGTTAAAATATAAAAAAAAAATTAGCTACACGCATCAAAAGAATGAGAAGAAATAAGGTTAATGATGTCATTAAAAAAAATGACAAGTTATTGTGCTGCCGACATTACTAGCCCCGGCCCAGCAGGTGTTAATACCAGTTACGGCCATGGGAGGCGGTATGCGGGCGGGCAACATAACCACCAGCCAAACTGCAATACACGAGTAACTCGCACGGTTTGTGTGTGTTTGTACTGGCACCTGATGTCAATCGTGTGGAAAGTACAGCCCACTACTACATTTCACTTCAGGAAAGAGTTCAAAAAATGATTGGTGGATATTATGCATGAGGAATACATTTTGGTAAGTTGTAACATACTGTATCTTTCAACAGTGTTTGTGTTCTTTTACCATTAGCTAGAGATGATCGGTTCATGTGCGCTAGGGATCTGTAGTGTAACATTTACAAGCGCCAAAACGCTATTTATTGTTTGAATTGCGTAATAAAATTGACAGAATCTGAGAATCAGATCAGAATCAGAAGATTTTTTTATATATCATGACTAACCTGCTCCGTCTAGTCTGTCGGTCTCCGTGTCCTTTTCTGTGCGTGACAAAATTGATGTGTGGCGTGAGAGCATGTGAAAAGTGTCAATTGCGTGTCTCATGGTGAATTCGTGAGAGTTGGCAGCTCTGAATGACGCTAGCTTGGTCAACATCAGCGAATGCAGTCTATCAAATTAATTCAAACTAACAATACAAATATAATATGCACAAAACGATACTGTAAAACTTCACATAACAGCACAATCTTTTATTCCCCAATGTCGTCGAAATGCACTGGCTTGTATTTGAGACAGGCGTCTATGAGACGGCCTTTATAATTTAGTGTTGAGATGTTGTTCATTGAGTCTCTAATCTCTAAAAATGTCCAAATGCTCCACGTGAAACTGCGTCTTCCAACCTTTTACTATCGAGTCAATTGATTTGATTAATATGCGAGAGGGAGACAGAGCAAGACAGTGCCATTTGAAGACGTGAGAGTGCGGACGCACGGCCGCAGCACAACTCAATTTCTGGAGGTATACTGCCCCCATCTGGTATGGAATATGGAGTATGAGTTGATTTTTTTTTAAAAAAGATGGCACCTTTAAGAAAAAAAAAAAAGAAAAACCAAAGAAATTAATCTGAGATAAGATCATATTAAATATTTGAAAAAAAAAATATTTGGGAAGAGAGGGAAAAAAGAACTAAAAAAAGAAACTGTTTTAAGTTAACTAAAAAAAAACAAAAATACTGAAAACCATTAGAGTTAACTTTTCTTAATTTTTTTCTTTTGTTCTGTGAGTGGGGGAGAGAGAGTGAAGAGAGTGAAGCAGCCCCTCCCTTCGAAATTGCTCTATACCTTCACACACACACACACACACACACACACGCGCGCACACACACGCGCTTCACATAGGCCTGCAATTACTGAACATAGACGCAACCATATGTGCATAGCCCCTCCCATAGAATTCAGGCGCACATACATTGTCCTTGTGTTCTGAGTGCCCAGACTTTGAATACTTTGAAAAATGGCAGAAAGTGTCTGTAACAGCAGTAAAATGTCTGTTTGGTACCTTGAAAGAAAGAAGAGCAAGAAACTAACTAAACTTTTGGAAAAATGACTGGACAATAATGCATCTGAGCAGTTAAGCTGGTTCGAGTCCCAAAAAGACAAGATAAAATCAAAAGCATTTCCAATTTTAGCAGCTAATTGGATTGTGAATCAATGTGGAATTTGTTGCAATATAAATGGTGATCCAGTTCCACTTGTTGAAGTAATGAAACCACAAATTGAAGCATTCACCAAATAAACAAAATCATGTCAGTTTCACATGTCCAGAGAAGGAAAATACAACCAGTGATGATTCATTTGATCCAGATTGGACAAATATAATAACTGAAGCTGAAAGGAAATATTCACAAGCACCAGTGAAATCCGCGACAACTGTACAATACAACTTTGCCTGAACAATATACAAGTAAGTTCATCTAAACCTCTTACACAGCCTCAAGCTTTAAGATTAAATGGAGGTCCAGTTGACAAAATGTATATTGCATCTGCACAAGCAGCTCCATTAATAACAAGATCTAAATCAGCCCAGCCAAACAGAGACATGCTGCGATGTACAGCTCGTAATTATGGATCCGACTGGGGTGATGAGACCAGAGATGATGACATGATCACAGTTAACAAGATCTGTCCTGAAATGTCTTCACCTGTGATTAAAAAGGAAGTATCTCAAATGATGACAGAAGAGAGACCATCCACACCAGGAGAACTTCAAGCCATTCTCACAGCCTTGCCTCCTCTGAAGAGACAAGATGCAAACACAGAGTTTTGGCGAGAATAAGACTCTTGTGAAAGCTAAAATCTCAAGAGACCGAAGGGGAATGCTTGCCAGCATTGATACCATCAGCCCAATGGCTAGACTTTGGGGTTGATGGCCAGGGAAGACACCTGGGTCTTTGGCAAGCATTAGACGGATTTCAAAAAGAAGTCTTGGGCAGTGATAAATTCCATTCACATCAGTGACATTGATTAAGCAAAAGGACGATGACTCTCCAGATGAATATGCTCGTGGAATGCTTATGAGAGATGGGCTATCTGTGCTAAGAAACAACCTGACAGAGATGATGACAGTTCACTGACAGTTGTGGATGGATTTAGCATGAAATACCAACAAACCTTATCACTTGGAATCAATCCAGGTGAGACATTTGACCAAATTGATCAAACCTGGAAGAAGGAAACAATCCAAATCAAAGAGGAGTGGTGACAGTTCAATACAACATGGACATAGAGAGGTGGTTGAAGATTTGCAGCAACTGTGAAAAGCGTGGACACTTAAGAAAAGATTGTTGGGCTAAAGGAGGTGGAGAAGAAGGTCAAGGTCCATCGTTTAAACAAGTCATTGCGAAAAACCATGATGAAACCTCTCAGGGGAAGACATGGACTGAAGCACATGTTCATCAGCTCATTGAGGGAATTATGCGTACAGCAGTTCTACTTCCTGATGCTATGCCACCTGCGGGAACAAGAGGACTCTACTTTGTTTCAAGAGAAATAACAATGCTATTTCAGAATGCTGGACAAAATTACCAAAGACAATTATAAGAAAGTGGGAATTTTATGGGACTGCTAATAACCAGTGCTTTATGTTGCTTATGTTCATTGTTTTTGTGATAGGACCCTCTCTAAATATTATATCATGTGTAATGTCATTTTATTTAAAAGGCTTAGTACAAGAGGAATAATTTAAGAAAGTTTCTCATGTCAGTAACCATGTTTTGTCCACCAGATAGAGCTGTTCATTGGGTTCTAAAACTGTGACAGGTGCATGTTCAGACATTGATAACCATTGACATAGACTAATGAATCAAAGGCCCTTCTCATAATAAAGGACCTATAACCTTTATAAGTTCAGAGGTTATTTTATTTCTAGATTGTGTCTTGAAAACATAATGCTTTATACTATAACCACTTTAAATTTGATCATTAGGGTATGTTTTTTTTTTTTTTGCTTAAAAAGAAAATTTGTTTAGTCCAACACATTCTCACCCCAAGGCGTCACCTTTGACCATGCTTCAATATTTGACGTTTTAGGCGCCCTTAAGCGTCACTTACATGACGCGATCCTACGGCGTCATCTAACTGACGCTACAGGAAAGCGTCAGTTAGAGGACGCGGTTAGGTTTAGGTATGGGGTGGGGGTAGGGTACACGCGATCCTAGGGCGTCATCTTGCTGACGCTAAAGGGCGCCTAAAGCGTCAGATATTGAAGCATGTCCAAATGCTTCCCAAGGCGTCAGTTAGGTGACGCCTTGGGAGTGAGAATGGGCTGTTTAGTCACCATGGAATCCAAATCAACAATTTGCGTTTTAGTTTTTTTTATAGAATATTGCATGTATATGTATCAAAGTATTTATCTGTGCACATTATTATTATTATTTTTTAATTCATGTTCACTCTTCTCTTCTCTTCTCTGATAATATGCTTACTGGCGTGAGGCAACCTGAAAGGTTACTTTAAGGCCTGCCTATTGATTTAACATGCTGTACATTTATGCATGAATTTTTACAGTCTGATTCATTTCTGCGAAGCTGATGTATTAGTCGGTGTGAGGTGTGAGTGGCACATGACCTAAAGGTAAGGAAGGGCTGACATTAATTTGATGTACAGGCCTAGGTAGATCAGAAGTTAATCTACATTTCCCAAATTCTTGCAGCCACTTAAGACTGGTTTAGGTCATCGAATAACCAGAACAATGTCGTCCGCCCTGGAGTGGACGCTATCGATACGGTTTACTCGTACTGCATCGCTAGACGCATTGGAAAAACTCTGCTTTTTCCGCTTTACTATATGCTTATAGAATCGAGCAGTGTAACCGCATTAGCCAATGGTCGTGCCATGAAGTTGGATGAAACAATGAGCAACGTAGCTGCACGAACCTATGGCG